TCTGAATAACAAAAAAACTCCGTCAAAAATGGCTAGTTAAATAGTCGAAATTTGTCTGAAGAAAAAAAACCCACCCAGAGCACAAATATTTCGATACTTTTGTACCGAAAGTCGGAATAACAAAAAAACTCCGTCAAAAATAGCTTGTAAAAAAGTCGAAACTTGTCTGAAGAAAACAAAATCCATCCCGAGCACAAATATTCCGTTACTTTTGTATCGAAAGTCGGAATAACAAAAAAAAATCGTCAAAAATGGCTACTTAAAAACTCGAAATTTGTCTGAAGAAAAAAAATTTCACCCCGAGCATAAATATTCCGTTACCTTGTATCGAAAGTCGGAATAACCAAAAAAAATTCCGTCAAAAATGGCTAGTTAAAAAGTCGAAATTTTTTTCTGAAGAAAAAAATTCTACCCCGAGCACAAATATTCCGTTACTTTTGTATCGAAAGTCGGAATAACAAAAAAAATCCGTCAAAAATGGCTAGTTAGAAAGTCGAAATTTGTCTGAAGAAATAAAATCTACCCCGAGCACAAAGTTTCCGTTACTCTGTATCGAAAGTCGGAATAACAAAAAAATTTCGTCAAAAACGGCCAGTTAAAAAGTCGAAATTTGTCTGAGGAAAAAAATTCTACCCCGAGCACAAATATTCCGTTACTTTGTATCGAAAGTCGGAATAACAAAAAAAACCGGCAAAATTGAGTAGTTGAGTAGTCGAAATTTGTCTGAAGAAATAAAAACCAACCCGAGCACAAATATTTTGTTACTTTGTATCGAGATTTGGAATAAAAAAAAATTCCGTCAAAAATGGCTAGTTGAATAGTCGAATTATGTTTGAAGAAAGAAAAATCCACCCCGAGCACAAATACACCGTTACTTTGTATCGAAAGTTGAAATAACAAAAAAAAAATCTGTCATAAAAGGCTAGTTAAATAGTCGAAATTTGTCTGAGGATGAAAAAGTCCACCCCGAGCGCAAATACTCCGTTACTTTGTATCAAAAGTCGGAATAACAAAAAAAAATCCGTCAAAAATGGCTAGTTGAATAGTCGAAATTTGTCTGAAGAAATAAAATCCACCCCGAGCACAAATATTTCGTTACTTTGTATCGAAAGTCGGAATAACAAAAAAACTCCGTCAAAAATGGCTAGTTAAAAAGTCGAAATTTGTCTGAAGAAAAAAATCAACTCCGAGCACAATTATTCCGTTACTTTGTATCGAAAGTCGGAAAAACAAAGAAACTCTGTCAAAAATGGCTAGTTGAATAGTCGAAATTTGTCTGAAGAAATAAAATCCACCCCGAGCACAAATATTTCGTTACGTTGCATCGAAAGTCGGAATAAGAAAAACTCCGTCAAAAATGGTTAGTTAAAAAGTCGAAACTTGTCTGAAGAAAAAAAATCCACCCGAGCACAAATATTCCGTTACTTTGTATCGAAAGTCGGAATAACAAAAAAATCTGTCAAAAATGGCTAGTTAAATAGTCGAAATTTGTCTGAAGAAAAAAAATCCACCCGAGCACAAATATTCCGTTGCTTTGTATCGAAAGTCGGAATAACAAAAAAAATTCCGTCAAAAATGGCTAGTTGAATAGTCGAAATTTGTCTGAAGAAAGAGCACAAATACTCCGTTACTTTGTATCGAAAGTCTGAGCACAAATACTCCGTTACTTTGTATCGAAAGTCTGAATAACAAAAAAACTCCGTCAAAAATGGATTTTTAAATAGTCGAAATTTGTCTGAAGAAATAAAATCTACCCCGAGCACAAAGTTTCCGTTACTCTGTATCGAAAGTCGGAATAACAAAAAATTCCGTCAAAAACGGCCAGTTAAAAAGTCGAAATTTGTCTGAGGAAAAAAATTCTACCCCGAGCACAAATATTCCGTTACTTTGTATCGAAAGTCGGAATAACAAAAAAAACCGTCAAAATTGAGTAGTTGAGTAGTCGAAATTTGTCTGAAGAAATAAAAACCACCCCGAGCACAAATATTTTTTTACTTTGTATCGAGATTTGGAATAAAAAAAATTCCGTCAAAAATGGCTAGTTGAATAGTCGAAATTTGTTTGAAGAAAGAAAAATCCACCCTAAGCACAAATACTCCGTTACTTTGTATCGAAAGCTGAAATAACAAAAAAAAAATCCGTCATAAAAGGCTAGTTAAATAGTCGAAATTTGTCTGAAGAGGAAAAAGTCCACCCCGAGCGCAAATACTCCGTTACCTTGTATCAAAAGTCGGAATAAAAAAAAAATCCGTCAAAAATGGCTAGTTGAATAGTCGAAACTTGTCTGAAGAAATAAAATCCACCCCGAGCACAAATACTTCGTTACTTTGTATCGAAAGTCGGAATAACAAAAAAACTCCGTCAAAAATGGCTAGTTAAAAAGTCGAAATTTGTCTGAAGAAAAAAATCAACTCCGAGCACAATTATTCCGTTACTTTGTATCGAAAGTCGGAAAAACAAAGAAACTCTGTCAAAAATGGCTAGATAAAAAGTCGAAACTGTCTGAAGAAAAAATCCACACCGAGCAAAATTATTCAGTTACGTTGCATCGAAAGTCGGAATAAGAAAAACTCCGTCAAAAATGGTTAGTTAAAAAGTCGAAACTTGTCTGAAGAAAAAAAATCCACCCGAGCACAAATATTCCGTTACTTTGTATCGAAACTCTGAATAACAAAAAAACTCCGTCAAAAATGGATTTTTAAATAGTCGAAATTTGTCTGAAGAAAAAAATCAACTCCGAGCACAATTATTCCGTTACTTTGTATCGAAAGTCGGAAAAACAAAGAAATTCTGTCAAAAATGGCTAGATAAAATGGCTAGATAAAATGGTTTTCGAGCGATTTTCTTAGATAAACCGTTCAAAAACCGCTCAAACCGCTCATTTTGAAGCAAGATTTTGAGCGTAATTGTCTAAAAAAATTGCTCAAACCGCTCAAATCTTGCGCGGTTTTTGAGCGATTTTTTTAGATAAATTGTTCAAAAACCGCTCAAACCGCTCATTTTGAAGCAAGATTTTGAGCATAATTGTCTAAAAAAACCGCTCAAAACGCTCAAATCTTGCGCGGTTGTTGAGCGGTTTTTTTAGATCAACCGTTCAAAAACCGCTCAAACCGCTCATTTTGAAGCAAGATTTTGAGCGTAATTGTCTAAAAAAATTGCTCAAACCGCTCAAATCTTGCGCGGTTTTCGAGCGATTTTCTTAGATAAACCGTTCAAAAACCGCTCAAACCGCTCATTTTGAAGCAAGATTTTGAGCGTAATTGTCTAAAAAAACCGCTCAAACCGCTCAAATCTTGCGCGGTTTTTGAGCAATGTTTTTAGATAAAACGTTCAAAAACCGCTCAAACCGCTCATTTTGAAGCAAGATTTTGAGCGTAATTGTCTAAAAAAACCGCTCAAACCGCTCA